AGAGAAACTATTTGCATGCACGCGAATAATGAATCACGCACTAGCGCGTAAGCATATGTATACTTATTGAAAACGAGAAAACAAGGACATACATAATAAAAGTTTCAGACTTTACGCATAATGTACGTTGTTTTCTGGTGAAAAAGAGAGAAAAGAAATAACCAGGCAGAGAGTACGAGATCTTTGTATAGTTCTAATGTAAAGACCTATATGTAATAATCGGTATTTTAATTATTTAATATTAAGTTCCACGTATAGTACGCGTCTATCGCTCTTTTGTTATTATTAATAATAACAATTACGTACTTCTAATTTGTTCGTTTCATCCAGTTTGCAATTAACGTATGTTTTCAGTATCAAATTATGTGCAATTACGCCTAACGTTGTGCAATGTTCACGCAGGATTTGTCATACGCACATGTGGATGCGCGTTTGCGTTATTATTTATATAAAAAAATACGCCGTTTATTTGTATAGTTTGGGTGCAGAGTACATGCTTGTAAATAACAAGAATGAAGGCAATGCTGTGCGCACCATAATGTTTTATCTGATTATATCATTATTTATACCCTGTATAAATGCGCGAGTCGATTAATGCGATTAATCATGCGCTTCTTCATTTTATTTTTTATCCCTTATAAACAGCTTGCTATCTAATATCTGTTGTATAATCACGAATAAGAATTAATATACGTTACATGCAGAAGCTGAAGTAGCATTGTTCATCTTTTGTGCTGTTGATATACTTGCACGATCAATTACCACAAATTATTAGCGAGAAAAATCCCTTCAACACGTAACACATGCATACTCTGCATATTTTAATGTGCGATAAACCTTTGTGTTATTACGTGTTTATTTGTATTATTTAAATTGTTAATTATGTAGATAGGATATATATATATATATATATATATATATATATATATATATATATATATCAGGCATATTTCGAATACGGGAGAAAAACCGATGTGAGTCAATTGAACTATCATCTATTGACAATCGCCGTCATAAAGAAGCTGAACAGCATGCCTTATGAACAACACTGCAAATGGTTTTTAGGTGTGGATTCAATTTTAGATGTCGCGTTCATACATATAGAACATCGTAAGTAACAATGCTAGTATCAAAGTTAAAATTATTAAAATTAATACTGCAATTCTAGACAAAATCGTAAAACTCGTAACTTGTTCTCGTAAGACTTGTAAGAACTTAGGAGTAGATCTCAATTCTATGCGAATTATATCCCAGTAAGCAAAGAACATTAAATTAACGTTTAGAAACGTTGATTTCATGTGCATTGTTTGGACATTTTTTAATATTATTGCATTTATATTTTTCACGTGTTATTTTGTAATATAATTTTTCTGAATGTTGTTTAAACGTTTTAAAAACATTACAAAAAATATATTTTTCAAATGTTACTTTATTTGAGATCAATGCAACATCTTAAAAATATTTCTGCCGGTTAAAACGTTATGGCAACCCTATTTCAACATTATTGAAACTTCCAAATCGCGGTCAAAATATGTTCATAACGATGTTTGATACAATATTAAACACTACATATTTTACAATATTACAAGTCTTTTAATATCATTGTAGCAACGTTGTATTAATGATTTTTTGCTTACTGGGATGTCATATGATAACTCGTAAATATCTATGATTTTCTTTTTTTTTTTTCATAAGTTACGTCTTTACGATTTTACGATTTACTTAGAATTGCAGCATGAAACTCGATCCAAACCCCGTTTGTTTCTGCTCGTAGTCCAAAGAGAAATCGTTGCTAGAGAATTGCGACTACCAGGTAACCATGAAATTGGAGAGCGTCCAAGATTGGCTGGCATTTACGAGGCGACTTTAGTGCCCATCTGCGATCTGATCAGTCAAATCCCTTCGGAAGCCTTTCACGCATTGGAGCTATTATTGCTGAAGCATCTATTATCTGGACGCTTTTGGAGCTCCCTATTGAGTTCGGACGTTTGGTGCTTTATTGGCAGGTACTAATGATGGGGAGAACTCTATGTAAATGAGCTGAAAAATAAGCAGTCTTTAGGGATTAAAAACAAAAGAACTATTCGATGAATCTCTTTAAAACTTTTAGTATATTTAATTGCACATAATTGAAACTTTTAGTACATTTAATTTAAATGCACACTTAAAGAACTAAATAGAAAATATTTGGTTTTAGCAATAGTAATGGATATTTTGATGATTAATGGAGGTCGATGTCGCAAACCTCGTTTTTGACGAGGAAAATTTGCGTACGCTCAAGCGGTCTCAATTTTAATTCTACAAAAAAAATCCTAAAAGATTTTTTTTATAAAAACCGCATGGAATAAACCTTAACTTGTTAAAAAAGCGGAAATATAGTGAAAATAAACGACTTCGAAAAAAAAGGTTTTAATTTTACAGAAAATTTTTATCTTAATTGTTTGAGAAATATTGTTTAAATAAATAAATATTAATAACATTTAGGTTCATTCTATTACAAAAGTAATAATGTACATGCACGCATAAGCGCAACGCAATTGGTTGAATAGTTTTTTAATTATGATGTACGCAAGTTGCGAAAAAGTAGTTCTGAGAAAAACGCGTTTAAAGTTAACGAAGCAAATAAATAACAGTTTTTGGAATCTCACGGCTCTTTTCGACTATTCTGCAATTTCAGTTTCATACAATAGGCCCTCCATTTCCTCGAAAAATTGGTTTTCTGCAATTTTTTTCTGTTTACGAGCTATCCGAGCCTTCTTTGTGCTGCTACAAGTTTGGCACTTCTGTCTGTTCAATCGCTTGCTGTCCAATAAATCGGCGTAAATTGCATTGCTGGCCAATTTTAAGTTCCAAAACATCCATTATTTTTAGCACTGCAGAATAGCCCTCGTTAAATATGCTAGCAGCAATATAAACAGCTGTTTCTATTATTTTAATGCCAGCGTGTAAGTGTTTAGGAGCTAGTCGTCAGATCATTGCATTTAGACTCTTATTAACATTTTGTGTATGCTCTCTCAAGCATCTCTCGGCCATTAAGAAACGTTAAAGTCTATTGTACAAAAGGGATTAAGTCGAAAAACGGGAGTAGTCCGGCCAAGACGCACCGGGCGGCTCTTGCGCGCGGCGCATAAACGTGTCCGTAGTACCATTAATACTTCGAAATGGGCTCTAAAACTTTAGGATTATATTCTCCATATAACAAGGATTTGATTTAAATGAAAAAATTGATTTTTCTAACCAGTTACATGGAGTTCTCCCCTTAACGTCGGACACATTGATTAAGGAAGTTGTAAGGAAGATGCAAAATGTTAAAAATGACATGAAATTTGAAATATAATTTTATTTATAAATAATGCATTGTGAGTTTTTTTTTAAATTTTTTCATCAGTTAATTTTTGTGTAAATTAATATAAAAGTTCAAGATTTTGTAATAGACTCTTACACAGAGAAAAAGATTTCTTTAGATTCAGAATGCCTATTTATTTGGCTTTGATTTGATTAAAAGACATCATAATATTATATCAAACAATATAATTTGATATCGCACACGCACATTTCCTTTTATTAGATTAAATTATATTATTTGATGAAAAAACATTATTATTAAAAAAATTTTCAACTAAATAATATATTATTTGGTTGCAATTTGAATTTTATTCTTTTTGCGTCGATTAAATCAGATTATTTGATAAAAAAACTATTGTTTTAAACATATTGTTTTCTAATCTAACCCATTGTGTTTGGATTAATCAATATAATATTTGGTTAAAAATTCAAAAGCCAGTGTGGCATCACTGGTTCATTAATATACATTTTTGTTAATATTCGTTATATATTGGCTATTGTTGTATTGTTTTTAACATTTACCAGTAAATATAACACGGAGAAGGCTTTATAGATATTATAAAAATGTATTATAACTACAATACTGTAAATATATCGTTAGAATTAATTGACATCTCTAATTCTTATAGGAGAGTTCGAAGCATAATGGAAACTCTTTAAACAAGTTTCAAACATATTAAAAATAAATAAATGAATTCAGTTTTGCACAAAAAGATTAACTATCCATTATAAGAAAAATACAAACTTTACTGTGAAGGAATAGTTAGTTTAAAAGTATGAAATTATCGTTTTATTAAAAGTATGAATTAACCTCATTATGTTTCTCACATGAAACAAAAACCTTTAGTGAATGTCTAATAGACATCCAATATGGAAATTCAAAACCTCTAACAAACGTTCATATAACATCTAAAGGACTTCTACTGAACACCGAATATCCGCTTGTCGTACTTCCATACAATTTCTATTAGACGTACCGAATGAAGATTCTATAGAGGTTCTACAGAGATTCCGTGGAAGTTCTATGTAGATTCTATATACGTGCATGTATGAATATTTACTAAAACTTTTACATTAGTCAATTCCTTAAATTGTTAAAATAAAAAATTTTTGTTTAAATTTAATGTTTTGTATGTTCCAGATAGTCTAGTCCAATTTAACCCATTAAAGCCCACGGCTAGACCAGTAAGATTAATCGATTCTACGGAAAAAGTTACACAAAAAACATATATCACTTTTTTCGTAACATCCTCTGTTTATGCAAACAAAAAATAAACTTTAATGTCAATAAAATAATTTAAAAAAATAAAATAAAAAAATTAAAAATAAAAATAAGATAATTAAAACAATTAAAAAAAGGAAAAACTAATAAAATTTATTATAAATACTTTTCTCCAAAAAAGAATTTGTTGCAAAATTCAATTTTTTAATATGCTTTTTACATCAGAAATGTTTTTCTACGCTTTTATTTACAAATACTGTTTTTGCTAATCTTACTGATTTACATTGTTCTGCAACAAATTTCAATAAAATCAGATATACATTTTTTTTTTATTTTGCATAAACGGAGGACACTACTAAGAAAAGTGATAAATATTTTTGTGTAATTTTTTCGAATCGATTGGCGCAATCAGTTTTGTTCTACAGTCAATATTTAGTAATTTGTTCATAACATTTTATTGCAAAATTGATTTTTACAATAAACTTTTTACGCCTATTATGGTTTCTTATTGCTCCGGTTCTATGTTTGCAATGGTTATGTTTTTGTTAACTTTAGGCCTGATTGTACCAACATTTTGGCTTTAAGCGGAATTTAAACATATATCTTAATCTTTCTTCCTATATAAATAAAGACAGACATATATTTAAGTGTCACTTAAAACCAAAATAACGTTGGTGCAACTGGACCTTACTGATCTAACCATAGGTTTAACGGGTTAATAGAGGAACCCGGAGCATAATGAGAGAGTAAGAGAGGTTAAAGCAAGTTTTAAACATATTAAAAATAAATAAATCAACTTTGTTTTATACTAAAATATTCTTTGGAATATTATATAAGAAAAACTCAAGTTTTATTGCAAAAAATAGATTAAAATTTAACTATTAAAAAATAGATTAAAGGACGAAATTATTTTATTGAAAGCGTGCATTAACCTCATAATGCTGTTTATGCGGGGCATATACCTTACAAAACTTGCTTATTTTTCAAAAATATGTGATGGATCTCTAATGGACATCCATGATAGATATTATATGGATATTTAATATGGATATAATATAGTCCAATATAATTAGATATTCAGCATGGAAATAGATATCTAATAGAACTATGGATGTTATATGAACGTCTAATGAAGATTGTGTTCGGTATAGGTTCCTACGTGGGACAAAATAGAATACTTCATAAAATTTGTTTATTTCCTAATCACCGATTTTAAAAAGTTTCCAAAAGTGATTTACTAAAACATGCAATATATAAAAAATATATTATTGCACATTCAATTACTTATAATTATTTATTAATAATATTTATTATTTCTTATAAAACGAAAAAATTATTGGGAGTACAAATAAGTCTCCGCCAATTTTTTATAAAAAATTGGGCATTTATTGTGAAAGAACGGTACCTTATATTTTATTCAAAGTATTGTCCATCGCTACCCACTACTTTTTCCCATCTTTCTGGCAGCATACGGATACCGCGTCGGAAGAACGCTTCATCTTTTGAGGCTATCCACGAATCGGCTCAATTTTTGGTATCTTCATATGATGTAAAGTGCTGCTCAGACAGGTCGTGCGTCATCGATCGAAACAAGTGATAGTCAGAGGGAGCAATGTCTGGTGAATACGGCGGGTGGGATAAAACTTCCCAATTGAGTGTTTCCAAGTAGGTTTTGACCGGCGCCGCAACATGTGGACGAGCATTATCATGCAGGAGAATAATTTTGTCGTGCCTGGAGTAATAGTGGGTGCGTTTTTCCTTAAGTGCTCGGCTCAATCTCATCAATTGTGTTCAGTAGAGAGCCCCAGTAATGGTTTCATTCAGTTTGAGCAACTCATAATACACGACATCAAGCTGATCCTACCAAATACACAACATGAGTTTTTTTCCATGAATATTCGGCTTGGCTGTCGATGTTGAAGCATGGCCACGTGGTTCCCATGATTTCCTCTTCTTTGGGTTATCGTAGTGGATCTATTTTTCATCACCAGTGACTATACGATGCAAAAAGTCCTTTCGTTTATGCCTGGTAAGCAGCATTTCACATGTGTAAAATCGGCGTTCAACGTTTCTCGGCTTCAGTTTATATGGAACTCAATTTTCTTGCTTTTGAATCATTCTCAACGATTTTAAACGATGTGAAATTGCTTGTTGAGTCACTCCTAATGTAA